CTTTTATTGCTGTGGAAAAACACCGTTACTTCGAACAATTCTAAGAATTTAAATACACTAGAAAGAAGGGGTTCTGTAAACGGAGTAGACGGCGCACTTGCCATCCCCTGGAATCGAGTAAAATTCCACAAATTATTATCTTAAAAGTGATTGAGATATATTTGTGGAAAAAACCTTAAAAATTAAATAAAATTTATATGTAACTATTTGCCTCCGAGCTTTGCCCCTTTCTGGAAACTTTTCCGCTATAAAATACGTTAATTTTTATAATATAAGAAAACATAATGCAGTAGACAAAGGGGAAACCCAATGGAAGAAAGTACTGCAAATGTGTTGTACAGTTTTTGTCTTTCCTTTTATTACGTTTAAGGTTATTATCTGTGCTAAGTGGGATTATTCTCATTTTAAAACATTTTAGTGAATTACATTGCTAGAATTTCGCTTAAAAGTAAGTTGTATTAAAAATATTCATATTATTATATTGAATTTGCAATTTTGCTAATAATACTGTATAAAAATTGTCTGGAAATAATCTCAATTAATTTTCCTAGTAATTTTCTGTCTAAATATAACATTCTTCCTTCTGAATTAACTTAATAAAGCATTAATAATAACATTTGATAGTAACAACAGGTATAAACTCCGATTAATCCCGCAAATCTCGGGATTCTTCCCGTAACATTAATTTACATAAAATAAAACGTAATGTTATAATTTAAGTCCCTAAGCTAGCGACAACCCTAAAAAATCGGGTAGAAATTTCAAATTTAATATCGGAAGCGAGCGGCCACTCGCCACTATCTTCTTCTATCCGTTACTCGTTACGAAGAATACGGAGTACACGGAGTTGCCAACCATCACTAGTAAGGCTAATGGTTTTTCCACAGCGTTGTAGGACCTTCCCCGCATTTCTGCGTGGCAAAAGGAAAAAATATTGAGTACGATAAGAACATCGTAGAAAGGCCCATAACTCATCGTGCAGTATACGCATCAAAATGGAACACGTAATAAATATGGGTGTGGATTTATACTGGAAAAATACTTGACCTTTTTTAAATTGTGATGTTAAAGAGTATATAAATCTATCGCCATACTCTTGACAGCGTTTAATTGCCTCTTGTTGTCGTTTTCATATTGTTAGAAGTAAGGATAAGATTGCTTACGAGAACACACAGGAACACGGGACATATATACAGGCTTTATTGATTGCGAAGGATTAATATTATGATTAATTCTCTTAAGCAATATTACGCTCGCTTCTAACAATACGTAATTTTATTATTCACATACCGTTACGTATCGACTCGTAAGACATTAGACTTAGGAATCAATACGCAAGAAATGCTTAGCTGTGTTGGATAAGAACTATGATATTGAATCAAAAATATATATTCATTTTGTATCCCCGTTTATTCGAGGAGGAAAGAAATATGTTTAACAATTTCCAACACAACTTAATAATTATTAAATTTAATGGCTTTATAAACAAATTTTAAAATTAATTATAATTAAAAATAATGCTTAGGCCTACATAAAATGGCTCCTTTTACATTACCAGGACGTTATAAAATACATTTTCTTATAAATAACATTGCGAGTTAATTTCATGTTAAAGTTTTCAAAAATATATTTAATTAATATAAGAATACTTTTTTTACCAGCGCTTAGTTAATGTTTGCACTCGACTCTATTTCGAGACCGTACTATAATTATTTTTCGTATGCTTATTGTTTTAATCCAACAATATTTGGGTTTTTCTTTATGGCTGGGATGCAGTGTCTGTTATTTTCTTCAAACATTAACTGGAGATTAAACGTAGATCGTATTAATTATGTAATGAAGTATCGTAAAATGACTTACTACCTACGTTAAACATTCATCATTATTTATGCTAATTTAACTATGAATATTTACTTACATTATTCCCATGTTTATTCGTATAAAGAAGCATCGGAATCGTCTTTAACTGCTCGATATATATTAATTTTCTTACTACAAAAGCGCTAGATCTACTTTAAGCTCTACGGAAGCGCAGAAAATCATGAATTTTTATAAATAATTAAATGATTTATTAAGTGTAGCTTACAATAGAACGAAATTGAATTTCGAAGATAGAACTGACACTCGAAATGTAATTCATTTTTAAAAAATATTTAAGCAATTTATTAACTTAATTAACTTATTTCTGAACAAGTTTAAGTACTTAAATTGAGCCCCGGGCGATGAGACGAGTTGCTCAGTTAAAATCTCTTAATGACTTTAAAATACTTCCATTCTTTTAATGTTTAACTCGTAGCAGATTCGATTCTTTCGCTTAATTACAATTAAGTATTAAAAAAGATCGAATTAAACTTAACTGTAAACGTTAACATCAACGGCGAATCACCAGTCTGCAGCATCCTTCAATAGTTAATTAATCGAATTTAAGTTTTACATTCGTGTTAACGATGCTTTCGTGTCGCGACGAAAGAGTTAAAGTAATCGTTTAGCACGTCCGTACGTCATTCTGTACGAGTAATAATTTTTTATAAACAGAAAAACCATCCTTTAGATCGCACGATGACGAGAGAAATCCAACAGGTCCTATAAAAACAACTTTCCGAGTATTTGGTTACTGTTACGTGGCGTTACGCAACCTCGGCCATCAGCTGTTGCATTCCTGAAACGTCAACAACTAAAAAAAAACACGGATTTAACAGGCTTTGTACACGATAAAATGCTTTTTTTTTCACATAATCCTACGCAAATTGTATATATTTCGCTGGAAAACTACCTTATAACACGATCTTAAACTAAATCAATATCAAAATATAGTGATAAGGATATAGATTTACTTCCGGAAAATTCCCAACTTATTCATTTATCAGAAAAAACAGCACTTTTTTTTTATACCGAGCATCTAAAAATAGTTTTCTGTTTAGTGTACTCGTTGCCAGTGCAAACAGACAAAGGGGTTCGGAAGAAAATAATGTACTATAAATGAATAATATTGGCAAATACCACACGGAAAATGAAAGATAAAGTTTAATAATAGAATTAATTAAAACTTTTAGTGATTTTAATTATATAATTAATTTTTAAGATAATTTTCGGAGGCGTCACTTGCTAACGATTAGAATAAATTTCGTAAGCATTGTCTATCTCGATAAAGTCGTTAAAGTATGAACTGTACTAATTATTTAGGGAAAACTACACAAGAATTTGTTAAATATATGCGAGTGACACAAGAAAATTTGCCAGTCTCGAGTTCGTTAACGACACTACACCGCTGATTATTTGAATATTCTCGTATCTGGAGTTGGAATAATTTCTCAGCGTGTCTCAGGAGGGGGGAAAGCTTCTAGCTCAAACAGCCTTTCGTAAAAAGTATGAAGTTATATTTAAAAGAATTTCGCTTTATTTCCAGGATAAGGCTTTTATAAACTTGGATATTAATACGGCTACGTTGTAGATTTAATACAAAGCTTTCCATCTTTTCACTGCTTACTCGTTTGACTTTTGTGTTCTAAGAAGGGTACACAAGCTAGAAATTATAGAATTTATAATTAGGGAATAATAATTATTGAAATAAAGATTAAAGTTTCATTAAACACCTAAAAATATTAGAAATAATTAAGTTTTAGGTGTTTAAAACCGATAAAATTACATGAAAATGCACTATTGTAAGCCCACCAAATCCGCAGCTGATGGACTTTTACGGGGGATGCATTTAAACTGCTGACTTTTCCAGTTTTTTAAAGAGTGATAACTTTCTTAAAAAGGAAAAAAATGAAACGAAAAGCACAAAAATAAACTGGGATTTAATAAAGTTTTAACGATAAACGTTAATTTTGATTCAATTCGTGTCCATATTTTAAGTTCATCCACCGAAAACACCGCGGCTAACCGCTTTATTTCTTACTCGTCTATAATTACACTAGGCTTTTAAAATTTTATTTTCATTAAGAGCGACTAAAATAATATGTTTATGCCCTTAATAAATGAACCGTTTGTAGATGATCATCTAGAAATTTTGTACTTCTAGACAGGGCGTATCAACTCGTCGAAGGGCCTCGCCCCTTACAATAATAAAAGAATTTCGTAATGTTAACAATTATGCAAGTTTATACACGTGCGCTATAAGCGGGTAGTACTTATACGAATTTTAAAAATACGTTACGTTTACGTTATAACGAGGATGTGGGTGGCTAAATATCGAATAAAGTTTATAGAAATCATCGATATACCGCTAAAAGTAAAGGGTGTTTAGGCTTTTTATAATAGAAAGAGGGAGAAGTTATATAGTGAAATAAATCTGAAAATTGTATCTGTTTAATTCCGGAAGGAACGAATATTCTGTGTCTTTTCTGTATAAAGGGATGCAGCTGCCAGGAAACGACACGTCACTGTAGAATCATACGCTAATCTCGAGCAGAAATCGCGACACCCCCTTCCCATCCGCACCCTTCGCCAACTTCAACCATTCACCACCTTGACGTTCGCTAACTTTAACGAAAATGTTTAGCATTTGACTAACGAAAACGACACTATAAAATCGAGTATTGTTACGTGTTTTAACGGCAATGACGTCAATTACCGGTGGCTCTTTTTTTCGATTTTTAACAGATTCTCTCTCGTCGTTTCCCTGAAAAATACACGCAGATTTAACGACATTTTTTCGCCTTGTCACACGGAAAAAAAGCGCGCCAAAGAGTTGTGTGTGAGAATCGTTAGACACCGGCTCCCCTACTTAATGTATCGATTCTACAAGTATATATATATTTTTTGTGTCGTTAGTAAAGCGAAGAGGAGCGAATTCGTGATGTAAGAAAAGGCTTCCAGTCACGCGGATCACTTATACAGGAAGCGAGAGTCACGTGACCAGCAAGAAAGGTCACAGAACTTGACTGGGAGGCTTCGGCAATTAGCGAAAGTGATGCACGAGAGTGGCTACTGGATGCGACGTCCCTGTACTGTCTCCGAACACCTGTAAAATTTTAGCACTCCTGAAATACCCGGGGACAAAACACAGCACGGGACGTGACGACTTCAATTGTTAAACCCGTTAGAACTTCCAAGAATTTCTGTTTTCCCGCAGCCACGCGGCGGAGGATAGGACGTGCGATCGAATCAGTCAGCCATTTCTTACTCGCAAATTGTTTATCTCGCTCCCTCTACATTCCGCCCTACCTACTTTAAGAGTGGATTAATCCGACAGTACTCGCAAGTTGCCCGCGAAACGGACACCTGTGAGTTGTGTACTGTACGGTACATGACGTAGGAATGGGACTAGAAGCTTTCTTTATATTCAGATGGGTGCATTTCCGGTACCACGCTAGCTAAAAAGTTACAGACAAGAAACCCTACAGAACAAGTACAGCTAAGGCTTCGTACGTTTAATATTTTTCTCTAACACACATTCTTGGTTTAGGAGTGGGTCGTCATCGGACGAGTATCCAATAAGAGTTTTCGCAAGTTGAAAGACCCGGTTTGATTCGCCGATCGGTCGGCTAAAGACAGAAAAACGGCCGACGGGCATAGAAACGGTGACGTCAACGGCAGGGGAACTTTTCCGTGAGAAGCTGGAGAACAGCTCCCAACATCCCTGGGCCGCGTCACGTGGTACGAGCCCATACACGCGCATGCGCGGTGTCATTGTGAGAGTAATACTTCTCGACAGTTTTCTAAAGTCTCAGATCAGTTTCAATCTTGCGAGAGTGTGCACGTGCCAAGGCTCTGTCCCCCCGTCGTACCCGCTTCTTCGGGTCATCCACGCTGCCCTTCGCTCTTCTTATCGTCGATGAGGAAGTCAACACCGAAAAAAATAAGGTGAGTTATTTACTGTTTGTCGCTTTCCTGGGCTGTGTTGGGATGAACGGCAGGGGTGTGAGGATTTTCGTAGAAAGTAAGGCATCCGATACGGGAATCTGACGGGCAGATATGACGCGTTTTTATCGGCGATGACGTCAATTATCGAATATGGATTGATCGGTAAATCGGAGATAAGACATGTGTTTGGCTCGGGTTCTGTCGTTGTTTGGTGGTGTTTTTAGGACGGAGACAGACGCGTGGGCACCGACCAATATCTCGAAAGCTTCCGTTGCCGTGTTGCCTCGTATATGTGACTAACAGCCGCCGACCCAACCACCTGTTGTTGAGACTCCGTCCGAGTTCTCCGCTCCACGTCGAGCTTCGGGTTCTTTCTGTGTGACGTAGCAACAATCGCTCTGCTTCCGTCCGTGCGGGGTCACCTTGGTCACGAGATCAGTCACTCGGGGAAGGAGTGACGAGAGGTGGCGTCGACGTAACAGGGTGGAAGGGAAAAGCCCAAGTTTCCGAGAGGATGGAGTAGTCGGGTGACTTGTTTGATGAAACCGGAAACAGGTTGGGCCTGTCTCATTCGTGTGGTGTGGTCGAGATGTGTCATCTTTCAGGTAACGCAGTTGTTAGGCGGCGTGTTAATCCGTGAACGACGCATTCCTCTCTCGGAACCAAACATGACGGTCGAAGCGAATCCGGGTGAGTTTTACTTTAAGATAACGTTGGGCGCGTTGTAAGCGGAAGTAACGTTTTGGCCTGAATTTAGAGGAGATTGGGTATTTTATTTGTGGTGTTTGTCGGTGTAGAGGAGGATGTGTAATTTCATTGTCGGACGTCCGGGATGGGGGTTCGGTCTCGTAATGCCGCTCCACCTTCTGGCACGTCACCGCTTTCTTTGCCCCTCCAACTTACTTTTGTGTTAGAGGTCGATAACGGAAATTAGGAACGGGATGTTTACGAAGGGGTCGCCGCGCTTACGAATGAGTGTCGACTTCATTAACGTGTCGTTTTTTGGCCACCCAAGGTCTTCGACCTTTTATGGTCGAGGCTTTCGAGGAAAGCAAATCGCATCCCACCAAAGTTAGAATTCCTTCTGTCGTGTGTGACGCAACCCACTTTCCACTCACATCCTGTCCTTACCTGGAGAATTCTCGTTGCCTCTACCTGTTCTCTCCTTACCTGTAGGTGGAGTGTGACACACGGCCGACACTCGTGACTCAGGATGCGTGTGACTCACGTTCTCGCCATTTTTCACAAACATGCGAAACGTCTAGCCGCGCGTCACAATACGTCTCGCGCCATTCGATGACCGTCATACGTCTCACGTGACTGTTGCCAGGGCGATGTCGATGCGGACGTCTCCGCTCTATTATTCACCCCGACGAGTCTTCACTTCGAGTGCCGCCACAGATCGGCTGTCGTCCTAGCAACGTTCGCCTCGAAACGTACACAAATTCCTTCCTCCCCTGCGAGATCGTGGGGCAATTAACCCCGGGGGCTCACGAGATTTCTCAGATTTGAATATACTTTAGAATTAGCGACATTCTCCTTTCTTCGCGTGACAAAAACACGCGGGGGTAAAGGTCGAGGAGGAGTCGAACCCCCGAGTATGCTAAATTACTGTTAAAACGTTTTGTTTATGATTGTTAAAAGTGTTCCGTTCGTTTATTGGATTTAACTGTCCGAGAAGGAGTTTAGAAGAAAGACGATGAGTGTCGGGCGGGACAAAGTGTTGGCTGGTTTCGGAACCCACCTTTGGTAAGTGGGGTGATGTCATGCCGATTGATCTATGCAAAGATCTCTCGCATCTGGCAATTATACACACTACCGGCGTTTCTGTGTACAGGATGGTTGGCATGGCAACCACGTGTGGCTACGCCAATTGCCCTCCCTTACTTGAGTCAGTTTTGCACACTTTTTCTATCGGTGGCTCGATTTCAGGTGTGGTCGAGGAGTCCCGTCCCGAAAAGTCATAGCATTTCTCGATAATGGAGAATTTTGCAGGTGAGATTCTACGCGTTTCTTACCAGTTTCCTTTATACGGGGGATGGTCGAGTGGTCGAAAGATTTCGTTGTCAAGGGGGATACAAAGGGGCGTCGTACGCGCCGTGTGACGTACGATAGACAAGGTTTAGAGGGGCGAGAATTCTTCGAAGGTTAATAATTGTCGAAAGCTTTCAAGGGACAAAAATTCTCGTCCACCCTTAACTTTTTGAGAGAGGGGAAGAAAAACCTAACTTTAAGAGAAAAATGCTCGCCTACCATTTTTTAAAACTTTTAAACAACTTAAAAGTCGCCCCTTTTTGATTCATTAACCGGAGAAAATCCGACTTCGCCCCTCTCTTGTGTTACATAAGATGATTTGCATACTTGACCCAACATTTACGAATATTTTTCCTTCCTTTTTTTGAACCAATTAAAGTGGTGAGTCAGCGGAGGGTTGCCGAGATGCCTTAAAAGAAATAATCTCGGATCGCTCGGATGATTTGTCTCCCCCCCATCTGCAGGTGTTACCTCTCGTACTTTAACGGTTTCGCCTTTCTGACTTGTGCCTGCACGAGACGTCGCCATTCGAACCATCCGCTAACAAATCAGCATCCTTCACTAAACACTAAGGAACCCCAAAACTCAACAGTTGTCGTCGCGCTACTAAAAACAGAACCTCCCCCGACCTTTGCCCCCGCATCGAATATTACGTCGAGTAAGCACTCGTGAAAGGTTTCTTCCTCGACGAAACGCCCCGCTATACCCTATTAAAATATGATACGGGAGTGAAGAAAGGTTAACTTCCTTCACCCCCTCGTATACGTCATTAATTAAGGATTTACTCGTATCGCTCGGACCAATTAGGCGGTGCTCATTGATTATTCTTGTGTTAGGCGCGTGCCCGAGTTTGACCTTGATCGGTTCGTCTACATGTCGATTCGAAGAGAACTTTTCCTCGCCTTTCGTATCTTTCTTTTTGTGACGTCACGCTCTGATTGTCGTCATTTCCTTTCGAATTGCTGTAGGAGGAAGGCGAGAATGACCTGGTATAATTTAATTCCTATTCTAGGAGCGTGTAGCTAGCTTATGATTCTGTTCCGTGACCATTACTTCACCGTGCTTGGTTCGGCAAGTTTCCACCACGTTTCTGATTTAGCATCCGTCAGGAATTCGTCCCAGTCTCCAGTTTTAAACGTATTTAATTGAAATTAGTGAGGAAATAAACACATTTTTTCACCATTTTTTTTCCTATCGGATTCGTACTTTCGGCATCGTTTCCGGTGGCTTCAATCTTGTCCATTATGACGTTTTTTCGTTAAAACGTTCAATATTTTTACGGCTTCGCGAGTAAATATAGAAAAAAGTAACCATTTTCTACAAATTTTCTTAAAATAAAACCCAATTTTTCGAAACTTTAGTTAATTTTATGCTTTGATCTTGAATTGATAACGGGATGGAGGTGTCTAATTTACGTATAAAAACTCCAACATAAACTAACTTTTCGCATTCTTCCAACCAAATTTTGCCTATTATTTCGTAACTTTTCTAATTTTCTATCGGAAATTTAAAAATTTTTAAATTAATTAGAATTTCGAACGGATCTACGCTAATTTCTCTCAGATTATAGGCTTCAACGCCTTTATTCTTTGATGAACTTCATAAAAATTTAATCACCATGCTCAACTATTTGTAGTTATCGAATTTTGAGGCATTTTCGCTGAACGTCTTTCGAAAACAAAGCGCTACGTTCGCGAGTTTTCTTGATAGGACTCGGTTGCAAAGGGACCTAAAATAACTATTTTCAATTAAATACCCAAGAAAAATTATAGAAATGAAGCCTTTGGATGATGATAAATAAGATCTTCCAGTTGATCACCCCGTAAAATATATAATTTAATTTGAAATTCCCTTCTGAAGTTGTAACTCTGCTCGTTTAAGCTATACGAAGTTGCAATATGAAAAAAATCGCTAGCTACTAGGGAAAGAGTGGAAGCAGTGTTATGCAGATATGATTTCTGCACTCAAGCATCCGAAAAATTTCAAAAGAACGAGAACTTTACTTTCCAATTTATAAATTAAGCGTGAACATTTATGCTTGAGATGACAACGAGCGAGATTGTCCGAGTGCAATCCGTAGACGTAGTCGAGGTGCTAAAAAGGGGGTCAATTCGGGGCAAAAACTTAGCAGAAAATGACACAAATTGGGTTGCATTTTGTGGAAAAATCAAATTTTCCACGCTTAAAAATAGCCTTTTATTTCGTTGCTTCCTGTTGGAGTGGCGTAAACGCAAAGTGTCCTTGAATGATAACGTTTCTGGTACTTCCATCAGTAGGGAAATTTCAGACCGCGTGGGGAATTTTAGCGATATTTTTAGTGTTAAATTCTAAATTGGTGAGTGGGATTTTGAGATTTTTTATTTAGATTAGGTGACGCGAGAGCGGTTAAAGCCGCGACGATTGCTTTAATTAGACGAGAGAGTCGAAAAGCAATTTTGATAGTGTAAAAATTGATCGATAAACGTTTTCAGAGTTGGAAAAACATTGCGTGATCGACGATGCACGTCCTTTCTCTCACTCGCTGGTAAACTACAACCACAATTGTAGATAATGTCGCACGTTTCGTGCTTCTTAAACGCTCTTCTACCCTCGTGTTTTTGGCGTGGATGCGAAAGAATTACCCTTTCTGCGCTCAAAATAAGCTAAAATTAACGAAATTCATCGATTTTTATCCATTTTTTGTGGTCGAATTCTCGTGTTAAGTATCAATCACTTCTGCAGTTTCATTCCCTGTTTATGTTATTGAAAGTGACACGTGCGTCACTCCTACAAATGCTTCACCTCTGCAGGGTTTGATGGACGTTTTTGATAAAATTTCTATCATTTTTTTTATTAAATTTTCCCTGTTTTAAACAGGAAAATGTTGGATTTTTGTGACGCTTTCGATACCAGACCTGGTTTCTTAATTTGCACTTGTGACGTTTCACGCGTAACGACAGGTAACATAATGCCTTCGATTGTTTCCT